CCACAGCGACCAGCTCCTAGCTGCTCCAGGGAGCACCAAAAGCTGCCTGAGGTCTAGTCACTGTGGGAGGCTGCAGCGGACTCAAAATATCCTGAATGTTGGCCTGACCAGAGCTGAACCAAAACTTTTTAAGAAGCTGAGTGGGCTCTTTTGTGTCTCGTGGGCAGCTTTGAGCTTTGAGAGATCCCGTGCAACATTCAAGCCTTCCTGCCCTTTGGCTTTAAATCAGACTTGGAATGGTTGATGGACACCTTTTAATCCTCTGATTTGCCCTCACTTGCAGAGGTGTGAGGCCCATAAGCCAGTCACCACCACTTGATGACCTTACTCCTTCTGGCTTCCACTGCACTGAGAGGACCAGAGGAATGGGTTCCAGACGCACCCAAGCTGCAGGGAACTAGGCTTTGAGCCAAGACGCGCACATGAGCACACAGGAGCACCCCTCGAGCCCCGCTCTGGGAAGCCTTCACGGAGGGAGAGGGCTTAGCCACAAGGGGGCGCCATTCTCTGACTCACATCACTGGTTGACGAGAAATGGGCTGCATTTGAAAGACTCTTCTTTCAGTGAGGCTTGGTGAAGGCGAGCGGACAGTGACATTGCTGGAAATTGTCTTGCTTTCTTATCAGAAGGCAGCCAACATCTCAAATGAAGCAATGATGTCACCCGACTGTAAGCATGGTCAACCCAACTTACCTATCTTTACGTATCCTAGGGAGCCTTCAAAACCCAACTCAAAGGCCAGTCTTTTTGAAGCTTCCTCCTCTCTTTCTACTTGGAAGCACGGCTTTTTGTTCAGGATGCCCCGAGCACTCTGCACTGTCTCAGGGCTCTGCTTGTCAATGTGCTATGATTATTTATGTACATTTCTTGCCTCTCATACTTAATTCCTTGAGGTTTGTTTTCTCTTTAGCGCCCCTACCATTCTAGCCCTGCTGTTGGCAGAGTAGGTGTTTGATACATATTTGAGAGCCAGCTGACAGACCAAATCTGAAGTGGGAATACTGTCTGGCAGGAAAGCTACAGTGAGGTGAAATAAGTTCATCAGGCAGACCTAATGGTCCAAGATCAAGACGTCTCTACCATGGCTGTACTACACTTCAAATGCAGGGTAAGAGGCATTCGTGCATCCTTTGCCACATCCCATTGAAATACACTTCCCACCTCTAATTTCAAAGTGACTTCAAAGTACCTTAGGCAAACACAGAAGTCGTCCTTGTCTCAAAACAGGCCACCCAGAAAGCAGCTAGAGACTCAGAAGAGGAGCCCAGGTTGGAGATTCCCCCAGAGGTTCGAGAGCAAGACACAACCGTAAGCTGGGCTGGAAGCAACTCTGTCCAGAATGATCACATCCCGGGACAGTGCCTTCTCCCTTCTCCGGGACAGAGAAGCGTCCAGACTAGTGACAGTGAACGAGAGTGCAGAGCAGCCTCAGGTCAGCGCACATACTTTCCACAACAACCCAATAACAACGGTCAAGGCCAAAAACCAACCCGCCGTGCAGAAAATACCTTTTTACAAGGAGGTGAAACTTAACTTCTTTCTCCCCATCCTCATGCTCGCTCTGTCATGCTGGAAATTCCCTCTCAACTAAGGGAGCTTTGCTTGTGGGCCAGGGGTGGGGCACCACGTGGACCATACTGGTTGGTCTGGCTCAGAAGTCGTGTCACACCCTCCCCCAGGGTCACCTTTAGAGCCTGGTGCGTTTGGATCCTTCCTCCATAAAAAACAGATTAAACCTGGTGCTGAGGACCATGAACACGCCTACCTAAAATGCCTCTGCCCCAGCCACAGCAAGGAGTTCCTTCTGTTCACCCTGGAATCTCCTAGCTACCCGTATCCTGGTGGCGATTTGGAGGTACAATGGGTCTGGTCATCCAGGAAAGGTGACACCAAGTGTGGAAATGCCCAGAACCTACATGGAGAGAGAAGTCAGCCCAGGATCCAGAGTTTGGAAGGGTCTCCAGGAAACCAGGTCTCCCCTATGGGAAAGTGGGGGGCTTGGGATGAGTGGAAAGACAGAACAAAGACAGGAGGGTGTGCAAGGCTCTGTAGTTAAATTTCTTTCAGCTTTGGGTGAGCTGGAAGGTGGTGGTAAAAGAAAGGATCCCATAGAAACTCACCTAAAAGTGGGCTCCTCTGAATCTACATTAGTTATGTCCCCACGGGAACAGGGAATAATTAGAATTGTGCTTTCTAGTACCTAAAAAAGCAAAGCAAAACACTTCTTAGACAATTATTTCAAAAGAAATTTTGGAATCTTGGGAAGCTCAGTGAGGTGGCAAACTCCTCAGAACCTAAAACCAACTTTGGAAGTCTATTGTCATTGTGCCTATGTGTGTGTTTTGTGTGTGGGTGTGTGGATATATCATATATTTCCACTCACCTACTTAAGGTATATAGATAGATTGATAGATAAATTATATATTTATCATTAGATTTTTTTCCCCTTCAAGTCAACACCAGTGTGTTCCATCTTCAGTACACATTTTATATGCATTTTGATTTATACACAGACCATTATACCATAAAAAGAGAGAAAGAGCTGAGAACAGGCAAGGTATAATCTAGCCAGAGCTGTTGAAATGCCGGTTCAGCATTGTTAAAGAGAAAGGCAAACCTCCTCAAACACAAGTGAAAATGTCTGTTCTTAATACACACAAGCAATTCCTTATGATCATCAGAAGGAAAAAAAAGGAGGAAAACAGGACATACTATTAAATTGAACCATAAGCATTTTCCTTTTTTGTAGTCATCGTATGTGTTTCAAGGGAAAACATGGCATTTGTAGAAATTATTCTCCCCTGCTTCTAGTACAGCTTTTCCCCAGCTCCCTGGAGCTGGGGAATTAAAAAAAAAAAAAAACATGTACAGTGTATCACTCAAGTATCATTTTAAAGGCTCTTCACCTTACAGACCTTTCTTTATCCCATTGAAAACATATTTAACGACGTTGAGAAATGTCTTCCATATTTTGGCAAAAGATACAGAAAAACACAGAGTTTCTAGGACTCATAACCTGAATTGCTTAGTTAAAAGAAAGTCATTCTGTTCAAATTACAGAGGAGGGGAGTCAATTGCAGATAATCCACCTTGAAATTTCTATTCAAGTTCCCTTCAACCTGTACTGTAATTGGTCAGGATTCTTCTGTAACTGGGTCTTTACGGCATCGCTGGCTTGTCGACTACAAACATTCCCAGGGTGCCATCCCTCTTAACACATGGTATGGAAGAGGATTTCACAGGGCCGGAGGAGATGTGAGGGCTGGGCACAGGGTGGTTCACCACCAAACAGCACAACGCAAAGAAACCAACCCAGAGAAAACAGCGAAGTCAAAATGTCAAAAGCAGCCAAGACAGATGAGAATGCTAGGGAGTTCGTGGGCACTGTATTCCATGCCAAGAGACTGAAATTAAAAACAGAAAGCTGGGACATAAATCAAAATTGAAAGCTTCGAAAAGTCAAAGCCAAACCAATGTTTCCTTTTTCCCCCTACGCACAAACCTTTTGTTCTAAACCCAATGGCATTAAGATCCATCGTTTTATCTGGAAGATTCAAGTCTGCAGGGACACTTTCCTTCCATTTGATCACATGAGTCCACAGAAATAAAGCACCTTTGGAACCAAGAGTTGTTCAAGAATCCTAATGTCTTATTCAATGTATTGAAAAAGTACAGTTAAAATAATTAGAAGAATTCATCAAATGACAAACAATAATATTGACTCCAGGTGAATCAGCAAAAGGGCTCCCAGGACAATTCACAACTAAGAGGACAGAGCACAATAAAAGGCTATGACATTTCATGAATAGTCTGTGTTATAGCTTTGAACTTTATTGCAAAGCAAAAAATATATATTTATATATATATATATATATATTTTTATCTACATTTCACCTCTGACATTGTACACAACACGAAAGCACAGGAAACCAAAAAAATCATAATGAGGTAGATACATAACACTTACAGATGAAGGAGACTAAAGAGTTTAAATTTGGCTTAATACTGTGGTCACCAATGTATGCATTTTCAACACAGCAGCAAGCGTGGATTCACAGGGCAAGAAACCCAGTGATCTCAAACCCCAAAATAAGCCCCATTAAAAAATACCTGCTTCAAAATGAAAAAAAAAAAAAATTTTTTTTTTTAAGTCAGGGAATCATATGTGTTCAATTACAAGCCCTGGTATAATAAAGTTTGTATTTTTGCTTTTTTGCCCAGGAAAAAATATATAATTATATAATATATCTCTATATATAATTTTCACCTATGTAATTAGGAGTAACCTGTCCCACGGGGCTCTTCTCTGGATCCCTGCAGGTGGGGGTGGGGCAGCCTCGGGGGTTCAGCGCCTGGGGTTGACAGTAAGGGTGTCTATGGGCACCCTCGCCTCTGCACCAGGGACTGCCGGCCTTGGAGGGCCCTTGACACACGCCTGGAAACAGCTGGCAATCAATTCAGCTGTGACGTCTCCAGCATGACTTTACCTTCCGAGGATCCCCTGCTCTCCTGGTAGGTGAGGTCAAGAGCACCTACTGATTTGGGTTGCTGGGATCGTCCCTTTCCCTTGATCACTTCCCTTTACAGCCTTTGCAAAAGAGAGCTTAAAAGGCCATCGAGAAGGTCATCTTCAGCCTTGGTTTTCACTGTAAATGCATTCTGCACTATAAAATGCACGGTCAGGCAGTGGTAGCTGATGAAAAAACCAACCAGTCCTTGTCTGATGTCTTGGATGAGAGAAGGATGGGGTGATGAAAAGGGGCCAGGAGAGGACACCTGGCTGGTGGAGGCCAACAGTGGGAGGACAGAGCCATGAAATGACCGACCAAGAAAGGGCCGGCTCAGCCAAGTGCAGGCAGAGATCTCAGGGGCTCCAACCAGAAAGCGCAGGAGTAACTCGGGCTCGTGGCTAAGTGACTCTTAAGGCCCTGGAGACCCCAGAGGGAGCGCGGAGGAAGCAGGGTTCAGAGACACTGACGGGGCCAAAAGCGAGCTTGAATCAAGCTTCTACAGACTGTTCAATAGGTATATTGTCTCTGCTTGTGACCCTGCTTTGGATGGGATTTGTGTTGCTGGGAAATAGCTGGGAATGGGTCAGCTCAGGCAAGAGGGAAGACAGAGGGGTCCAAGAGGAATGCCTGGTGAGTCTGGGAGACTCGGGATTGGGGGAGGGAACAAGGTGAGAAGGCTGGTACCTGAACGATGGCACATCAAGGAAGCTTAAAGTCAGCCCGTGCTGGGCGGGACCAAGCCCTGCTCTCCAGGATGGGAGTGTTGCTGCACTGCCCCATCTGTTAGTGGACCATCTTTCTCCTCTGCTGGACTGCAGATCCCCTAAGAGAGCATCTTTCCTCTCTGCCGCCCCAGTGCCTAGCACAGTGCCTGGCATGTGAAGAGCATCACCCAGGCTGGATTGCATTTTTAGAAAATGCAAGGAGAGAAAAGTTTGGGGAAGAAGGGAACTGGCAACAATGTTGTAAGAATTTTAAAGATCCTACATTTTCTCCCCCAAGACCATAACCAGGAACTTCCTCCTGTCTTCTGAGGTACATCTCAAGGCAAGAGTCATGTTTGAATTTTGAACATAAAACATTGTCCCGAGAAGGAATAACACAGAGGCAGAACCCAGTGGGAGAGGAACTAAAAACAACTCATCTGAGGTGAGGATGTGCAGAAACCGAGTCACAGCAAAGTGAGCAGCCATCTCCAGCCTGGAGCTGGGCTGTGGGGAGGGGAGGAGGTCGCTATATCTTAATTTTGCATCATTTCAGGAGACAAAGACAAGGTGAGCTTATGACCATCACTCTCAAGTGATTCCCAATCTTGCCCCCCCAGGAGTTCCTGGGAAGTGGTGGTTGAAGGCTCACTAATCCAGGAATTAGGTCCCCCTTCCCTCAGAGATGGGAAGCAGAAGAAATCAGCCTGCTGAGCAACAGACAGCGTTGGAGTCCTTACAGGATGGGACCATCTGACTCCAGGCATTCAATAAGGAGTATTTTCACTCGAGGGGAGGCCTTGAGAAAAATCTGATACCATTTTGTCTATGACTGTGTGGACAAGCAATAATCAGGTGGCGTCTGAGTCCCCTTCAAACCCTGAGATTCCATTGTTCCTTTGTGCTCTGAAGAAGCCCCAGCTCTGCCCAAGGACTGGGGGTTTTTTCCTCAGCAGGTAACTGCTCTGACTACAGCAGGATTAAGGTTGTGTGTGTGGAGTGTGGTGTGTGTGTACGTGCACGCATGCGCCCTGGAGGCGTCAAGCTGACATAACTGGAAGCAAACATGTAAATTAGGAGGCTGGCCTACCTCTGTGTGGAAACAGGACATAGGGCTCTTCTCTCCCCAACAACTTCCCCACTCTGCGCTTTCCTGCCCATCTCTTTGCCCAGGCGCTCTTCCTCTCTCATTTATCTTGTTTTCCCTCCTTAATCAGCTCACATCACAGTTTTAACCACTTTATTCGGCCTACTGTTTCCACACTGGTCATTTCCTCCCTCAGCTTAGGAACTCACAGAGGCTCCCGACGCTCATCATCCCAAAAGCCAGTGGATCCGTTCAGTTGTCAAGACGCTCATGACTGCGTCTGCCTGTCTCGCTATTTTCCTACCTTTCTGGTTGGGACCCGCAACGGAGGTCACCAGGCTTACTTCCACGTTTTAGAGATGAGGAAACCGAGGCTCAAGGAAGACAAGCGACTGGCCAGGAAGTGGGGACAGGCAGACGATGTAGGTTCCCTGGCTGCCCACACCTACACACGCCGCTGCGCTCCCAATGCCAGGCTCACACGGGGACTTGCCTGTCCAGACTCCTCCTCTCTGCCATGTCACAGCCGGTATCTTCAACAACCTTCTCAGAATTTATCCAGTGAAGGTTAAGTTTCTGATTCTGTCCTAATTCCTACTGATCAACTCTCCTACTGGACCCTTAGAGAAATAATCCACCTGTCTGGAGATCACCTCTCCTTTCAAGATCCATCACACAAAAACCACTACTACAAAACCCCACGAAAGGAGACACAGAAGTTCTCAGGACACCAAAACAGATACCAGCTCTCCGAGAACTCACATGGGAAACGGGCATCCCTTCCCACGGGGATACTCTGTTTCATAAATCATCATTAAACTCTTAGTCCTCCAAAACTCATTCTTCTCCTAGCCTCTATGGCCATCTACAAGGAAACAAAAATGCCAGGACAGCCTTGGTCCCAAGCTGTCCCTGCCAGGCACTCGTGGCTAGCTGGCCTCAGTGAACCATTGGGAAAGGGCACGAAGAGAAACCTGGAAGACCACAGATCCAGGTCTGACCCCCAGCTGGACCCGACTGACCACAGGACCCTTGAGCTCCCCACGCCTGTTTCCTCATCTGTAAAATGGGATGGGGTTTCTCGTCTTGCCAGATTACTGTAAAGGTTTAGATGAGATCACTGTTCACAGGCACCTGGACACGGCCTTCCATATCGCTGGCCTCAGTTAGGGTGAGCTGCATCTGATGCCTCCAGCCCTCCCAGAAGGTTGATGTCACCTGCCCACAGGTCACATTGATGGGACTTACTCTGACATCCTGAGACTCTGGGCATCCTAAATACCCTTTTCCTCTAAAGCAACTGTCCCCTTCCCCCACAAGAGGACACACAGCATCTCAGATGCAGCTCTTCCTCCACCGCAGAGAGGGCTCGGGGCCGCACCTGACTTCTCTGGCCATGGCATCCAGAACTCTACATCTCTGGGGCCGGCACGGTCTCAGATACCAATCAGCGGCCACCATCCACCTGATGGAGGGTCAGCTCCTGCTCCACAGTGGGACTCATCCCCTGAGGGGGAAGTTTCTATTTATGCTTCAAGAGAACAGGCACAATTGCCGGGTGTAGATTTGCAGTGGAAACTCAGTGATGCCACAGCCCCGGGAGGTGAGCATGTCCCTTCCCAGAGAGGCAGGTTGTCCCAGCCCCAAAAGAGGTGCTGGATACTCTGACCAGGCCATGGTGGAGACCACTTCCCCTTGGCCCTGGTTCATTTGTCCTCAACTCTGAACATCATGGAAGACCCGGAGTCTCTGGGTCCTTTAGGCTGGCCCAGGGCCTGAGCTCAGATGAGTTGATGGGAGAGGAGTGGGGGTCACAGGGTTCACAGGGTCCCACCAGCCCTTCAGTCACTTTTTAAGCAGGGCCAGGGGTTGAGAAATCTCCTGGTATCCTGGCATCCTGGCATTGATTCCTTAGATGTTTTCTGAGCTGTAGAGACGAGCTGGCTTCTACGAAAGACTCCTAGGTCTGTGTCAGATAGGTCTAAAGCTCTCCAGAATGGTACTTCCAAGGGTAAGAGAACTCCTCTTGAGGAGGAAAAGAGAAATAATGAGTGATAAATTCCAGGGATGGGTCTTAGCAGGAGTGACCTATAGAACAGGACAGAATGCAAATGAACAGCACTTGAGTAAGATCCCCTGAGTCGCTAAGAGTCTGTATAGGATGGGGAGGCAGAGAATGAGGGCAACAGAGAAAATGCATTCTTGTCAGAGGACGACCTTTCTCATTCCAGAGGAATTCCATTCAAGCTCCCACCAGCCGTGGGGTGGAAGCAGGTTGTGCTGGAGCAGTTAGGCAGTGTCTGAATTTATCTTTTAAAAAGTGTCTCGGATGGCTCGGCCACCTTGTGCAAGATGTGTAAACTGTGTGCAAAACTCAGACTTGTGCAGACAACCGGAGAAGTCGAGAAGCTGCCTTCTGCGTGCAGGGTTGCCCCTGCCTACATTGTGCTTTGTCTAACCTCAGGATCGCTCTTCTGCCCAGCAACTCCTCTGTTACACCTTGTGAAGAAGGGCTCGGCCAAGATGGCTCCAGGGTGGTTTGTAAGTGAAACCTGGAACCGCTCATCTCCAGAGCTAAGGTTGTGTTGCAAATACCTCCAAGTGACATGAAACCAAGGGCTGACCTCTTCAGTGCTTCAGGGGTCGAGTTCTTGGGAGACATCCTTTCTGTCTAACCTTCAGATTAAAAGCAGAAGCAGTAACCCCGCTCAGTGGCTGCCAAGGGGAGAGGGAGAGCAGGAAGCAGTGCAAATGCAGGGAACTGGGCTTTGGCACTGGGTGGAGTGCGTCAAGTCGGTGGGAAGGATGAGGCTGGCATAAAGCTGGGTAGGAGATACGAGTTCACCCTCTGGGGATAGGTTACTCCATATAGAGGCCCACAAATAAGGAAAGAAAAATCCCAAATCCTTCCCAGAGTAGCTGGCTCCCTGCCAGGGTCTTTATTCAGGACCAAGGTGTAGGTGCTAATTTAGCTGCAGGTCCACAAACATCCCTGCCCCGCCCCCACCCCAACCCCCGAGGTCACATGCTCATTGTTCCACTTAAGCCAAATTTTTTTCTTGCCTTAAGTCAACACATCCCCCAAACATCCTATAAAAGTTAGACTTTATCAAGAAAATAATTATTTTGAATAGAGAAGAGGATGGAAAGCTTCTTTGTAAACATATAACCGAAATGTAAAAATACACATCAGTTCACTTATAGAACCAAACAGGGTTACACTGAATCATTGAAAAGGAAAGAAAAGGAAAAGTTTTCTTGGGAGCTCTTAAATTTAGGAAAAGAATCACTGTAGCATGCTCACCTTGAACCAGAGGTTGGATATTGTGATTCTGGTACAAAGAAAAATCTGTGTGGGAGATGGAGCGCGGAGGCGAAGGCGGGAGGGTTTGCATAGTTGTGAAAACAGTGGCTTCTCATCAAGGTGAACAAGTGCGTCGTCTGATAAAATAGCATTTGATTTTTTTTTTTTTTTCTGTTCATGTCTGTTTACGGTATTTTTCTCTGTTCATCAAACATTTCATCCATGGAAGCATATATACAGTACACACACACGCATGCGAACACTAAACTCTGGAATTACACAGCCGTACTTAAAAGGACCCCACACCACTTGTTCTGGGCAAAGTTTCTGTATTTACTCATCCGCTTGTGCTACGGTCTAACCCTTCTTGTCAAAACTCATCTTTTGGGTTATTTCTCTCTTTAGCGAGGGAAGGGGCAGGTGAGAATGGGGGCATCAAGGAAAGCACCAGAAAGGGTTCTAGTCTCATTGATCTTCTGTGGAAATGCCTCATGTGTTGCTCAGGGGTTCACTACTTCCTAAGAGATGGGGGAAACAACTGCCTCCTTCTTCGAGCTTTCTTGAGGTAAACATGATTTGTTAACATCGTAGGCAGCAGACGTTTACAGTGCTATCGAGACACCTTAGAATAAGGGAAAACAACACCAAAGTGTAACATCAATGCTCCAAACAGTTAGAAAGCATGTCTATGTTTTCATTGATTTCCCTGTCCTCACACTCAACCAAACTCCTTCTAATAACATATAGAACAGGACGGTAATAAGACTTATTTCCTATATCATACTAGGCATTCCTTATCCCATCCCACCATAA